CCATCTTTTCTTTGCTAAAGACACTGACAATATTTACCAAACGTCTCTTTAAAATTAATAACATGTTTATGCGCATGAGATGGATAAAAGTAATGCCTTTTATTTTTTCCCCCCATTTCAGCTGTCTCTTATCATTATGAAATATTTCACAAACATTGTAGACACATCCAGTGTTTTTTAATGAGGATAATAGATTGAAACAATATATGATAAGCTATCTATAGTGTGAATACTGATTTTATAATTAATATTGAGTAGTCCATTTTAACTGATACATACAAAGAATACACACTAAAACTAAGAATTAACTCTTCTCTCACAAGAACCAAAAGTAGTTGATCTTTAGAGCTAATGATTTATTCCAGAAACAGTTAGCTTTCACATTACTGAGAAATGTTAAATTTAAAAAATGTACATTATATTAAAACAAGTTAGAAGCCTCACCACGTGGTTATAGTCTATTTTACCATGTCCAGATTTACTCTTTCTGACAACATTGCATCTTGACAATAGCCCTGCAGCAGAGTTTCAAATGCAAAAGGCTCCATTATAAGGCTGTAATGTCCAAACCATGCCACTCCTCTGCTTACTTTCCATAATATATATAGTGAACAAGAACACAAGTTTTACAGTACCCTTTTCAAAATTTGATCTCTCAGAAATCCATAGGTGATGTGTCTGATGACTTGACTGTATATCTTCTTTCGGAGTAGCATGAATATCTCTTTCAATCTCCAGCTGCTTGAAGTATGTGATGGTTTAACAATGCATTATGGAAGTAACTTTTGTGCTTGTGTTGCTTTTCCAGGCTGAAATTTTTCTTGATTATGTTGTGTATTGGTGTTGAGACCCTTGGATGCCATTTGTGTTTGTGGATTCTCACCTGATACATGACACAGCATTTTGATTCCTATGGTTGTGGTAGGACTTGTTGCAAGTCTCTTTCTAAATGGTCCTGTTGCATCAAGTTCATCTATAATCCTTCCTTTTCCAATCCTATTAACTTTCCGTGCTCAGTTATTTTGACCATAAAATTATATTTGTAAAGTTTAGTGTAATAAGTTTATCTTCATGCATGAAATTTTATAAGCTTTTAGTAAATATTACAAGTATTTTGTTCACAAAGATAAATTTTTAATTCAGCTGATTATTAAAAATTATTAATTTAAAAAGTAGGAATAGGGATTGTCAAAAAATATATAAAATAGGTAGCTTAAAGTGAAATTGCAAAAAAAATCTAAACAAAGAAGCTTAAGGTTTGAGACATAGTGATGACATTATTTCTTCAAGCTACAAATCCCTAATTTGACTCAATATCTAAGAGCTGTAATATTTAGGAGGGTCAAAAGAGAGGTTTGTAACTTGTGGAAACAATGTCAGCACTATGACTTAAATTTAAACTTGTTTGTTTACTTTTTTCACTTTAAGCTACCTGTCTTGTTTCTATAATTTTTCAACCTGAAAGTTTTATGATGGTTATGAGGTTGGTGAAATTCTTATTTTATTGTCCACAAAAGACTTGTAAAGTTTACTAAAAGTTGAAAAATTTCATGAATATACACAAAAAAACACATTAAAAGTTATAGTATAGAAACTGATGGTCAGTTTAGGGTCATGTAATTGATGTAATCCACCAAGGCAGTAGCAAATGAGTTAAAGAATATATCATAATGAGAGACTTAAGAACTTGCAAAGACATCATTTTTACTATAATTTGTAGTTGCATAAATCAGAAAAAAATTAGGTTACACAGCTTATGAAGTCCATATTACTTACATGGTATTTTCATGAAAAGTTAAAAATAAAATGTTTGCTTATTATTATTAGTGATTTTGTTTTATAGGGCCAAGCTGCTCCTGAAGGTCTACAGGCTCAAGCTCTTTTTCCCTGGAAAGCCAAAAAGGACAACCACTTAACATTCAACAAAGGAGATGTTATCTCTGTAAAGGAACAACAAGACATGTGGTGGTATGGGGAATTCCAAGAAAAGGTAAGGTGAAAATAAGTTGTCTTTTCTTGTGGCTTATAGTGGTTTGTTGTAAGATAGGAAAAAAAAGTTTGCAATTTTACAGTTTTTTCCATCTTCAGTAAACAAACAGCATCTCCAAAACAAAGATTGTTATATATTAAAATGAAAACTGCTATTATTGTCATGGAGGATATGTAAACAACATAAAGTAAGAACACTATTCACAAGTCACAACAATTAGTCTGCAATTAGTGAACACGAAACCATCTAAAGACCCAACAAATAGTAAAAATTCAACTTACAGTATCCCTTGTGAATGTGGTTTCCATTACATTGGAGAAACAAAACTTAGGATTCAGGAGCATAATAGACATCTCTCTCTGTACCATATCCAAACAGGATGTTGATGACCATCGTCTTCTACAGATCTCTTCTCCTTGAGGCAAAATGAATTATCAATGTTGATACATTTGTCCATTTAGATAGACTCTTGACATAAGTCAACTTCTGCCTTCCATGGTTTCTCCTTCCTTCAATCTTTCCAGTTATGATTAGACTTTCAATTTCTTCTTACCTCATAATGTGTCTGAGATACTCCAACTGTCTCTTTCTGAGCTTCCTCCTGCAACTTGCTCTGACAAAATATTTTCATTTGAGGTATGACTTGTTCAGCATACCTTCAAGATGTGCCTTAAGAATCACAACTCAATTTATTCAATTCATTTTACCATATTTGTGATGTTGTTCAACATTCTGATGTGTATGTGATAACTGGTATAACATAACAATCCAAAACTCTTAACTTTGCTCTCATAGAAATTTTACTATTTATCAGTATCTTTTTTTCATTTTCAGAAATGTCTTTTTCCATCCCTATTCTCTGTCTTATTTCATGATCAAATTTAGAATTTGGTGTTATCCAGCTTTCTAGGTAGTTGAATTTATTGACCTACCTGCCTTGTCTGTTCCTTATCTACTTTGACCATGCATACAGGAGTGATCTTCTTCTTTGTTATTACCATACATTCTGTTTTCCTACAGTTAATATGCAAGTCCTTCTTTTTGCTTTCACTAACAACTTTATATAGAATTTTTTGCAGCAGCTCTTCTGAATCAACTATTAAAACTGTGTCATCAACATAGTGCAAGTTGTTCAAATTGTGTCCATTAGTGATCAACCCTCGAAAATCCTCAATTTCCCTCAGGATTTTTCACTATACAAAGTAAATCAGTTTAAAAGTCACAGCCTTGCCTCATTTGGATGAATTCACTTAATTCATAATTTATCTTCACTGTTGCAGTTTGGTCCCAATAGAAGTTTCTTAAAATTCTCAAGTCTTTACCATCAATGTCCAATTCTTCCAGCATTTTCATTAACCCTTTAAAAAGAATGAGCTTTTTAAACTCCTTTCTTTGCACTCAGTTACTTTCAAAATTTACTCAAGCCACTTTGCTATCAATATATTTTAATGAAATTAATATTATCAAGCAAATTATAGATTAAAGTTTTATATTATCTTTGTTTTATTTCAAAAGAAATATTGAAAGCAATAATGAAATATCTCAGGTTTTTGTCACATGAAGCATGAAATACAAACAGTGTCAAAACTTGGAGAAGTATAGCTTTAAGGATAGTCATGTACATGTAAGTCCAGACAAGAATGTAGCTTACTTCCCCTTTTGACACGTATGTTTCAAAGTACATTTTCCTCAAATGCCCACCTTCTAAAGTTAATGTTGAGCTTTAGAAGTTGCATGTACTTTCAACATGTATATGTTTATAGTCACTAGAAAGATCTCATTTTATGCTATAATCCAACAAAGGTTAATTTGAAATTGGTACCAAGTTGTCCTTGGGTAGATGTAACCTCTTACACTATTGTTAGCTGCTTTGTTCACAATAGTACTTCAGTTGTTTCTTACATAAACATGTTATAGTTAGAGAAACAGTTAAGTTGTATTTGTATTTTATTTAATTATGCATTATTTGTATTTTAAAATTTCATATTTGAAAGGTTTATTCTTATCATGATATACAAGTAAATTTTACATAAAAATGTTGCTAATAATCCAATTTTTAATATAATGTATATATTTGAAGCTCTTAATTTTATAAGGTAATATTAAATAACACTTCTGAATTTCCTTTAGTATGTGACATTTGCTGTCGAGATATTCCCTCTTCTATCATTTATTTACCACCCTCTGAGAAGTACAGAATTTAATGCAAATTACTCATTGTGATATAGTCATTACTTAGGCAAAACATAATTTAGAAATTGGGAAATTAAATTAGAAAACCAGACACAAATTGCCAATTGTTCTCTCTAACATTTTATACTATATCATTTATAACCAATAGAAAACTATTAGTTTTAATCTGTCAAATGACATATTATACTATGCTGTTTTCTGTACGGAGAATTCTCTATTTTGCTTCCAGTTCAAACTATTCCCACAAGGAACATAATTATCTTATTTTTAAAAGTTCTCATTGCACATTTAGAGAGGTTCAAAAGGCAATAGAAAAATAAAATTGAAGTTTAAGTAAATGCATGCTCTTACAAGTTAAAGCTATTTCAGATAAACAAATTTAGTTTCATTTTAGAATTGAAATCATTCAAAAAAGAAAATATGGTAATTTAAATTTATTTCAATTTTTTTTTTTTTGGTGGTTACGAGGTTGGTCAATTTAACCAACCTTGTATAGAGTTAAGGTAGGGTAAATAACAGATAAAATATAAAATTTTACTAAAAAAATTATTTGCCATTTATATAGGAGATTTTACAGATTATGCAAATGAAATTTGAAATTTTTCAGATAAAAAGAAATATTTTAATCTTAACTTAAATCACTTCACTCAGAGCAGTCAACATTTTGACTCCATATATTAATGGAGAAATTTTTAGTGAAAATGTTTCCTTAAAAATTCTGATTAAAAATTGCTTAATGATTACTGAAAGTTTCACAAAAATACACTAAACATATTAAAAGTTATAGTATGGAAACTATGAAGGTCAATTTGGGGTCACAAACTTGGCCAGTTCAAACCAAGCCCATAGTGAGAGAGTTAATTTTAACAGAATAACCTTATTTCATATTTCCTTCATCCACTTTTTTAAAATGGTTGTTATCTGCAACTGTATACCTTTTTTTAATCAGACCTTTTTCCATTAGAATTGTATAATTAAACTCCTTTGCCACTTTTGGCTGCTTAACTTTCCCCAATCTTATCTTGATGGTGCATATTACAGAACCATAGTTGCTCATGAAGTCAATCCCTGGGTAGGTTTTCAGTTATTGTACTGCATTCCTATATCTTCTGTTCATGGTGATATAATCAATTTGATTTCTAACATTATCTGATTGATATCTGATCACCACAGCCTCACCTTACAACTGCTTGTATTTCACTGAACAGTACAGATGTCCTTGTTTGATTTATGGTGAACATGTGCAAATTAAAAGTAATGAAAATAGATGCTCACATATAATACTTTTAATCCTTTCCACACAGGTCATGAGTCAAAGGCCATGTCATCATGTTTGTTGACTCGCATTCAATATTTTACTGAACTACTATTTCATGAATTTATGTCAATAAAGTTTGTATCAAACTGTAAATTATAATTTAAATTTTAGTATACATTATTCAAAGTCATAATTTAAAAGTAGATATTAAAGAAAACAGTTAAACGCTGATTTTTTGTGTGTATTGAATGCAACACTGGTTCAATTTAAATGTTTATGATGTTAAAACATTGCCTTACAAACCTTAAGACTTAATAAAAACATTTGATATTTTGTGTATGATAGCATTGTAATGTTTACGGATAATCTGCCAAATTTTGTTAACATTCGCTAACTAATTTAAAAGTTATAACATGAAATCTATAATAAGCACAAAATGGTTACAAGGTTGATCCCAGTGACCGAGCCTATGCTGAAAGAGTTAACTCTCTCAAAAATGCCCATCAATTCAACCGACCTCATAAACACACACACACACACACACACACAAAATCAAAATAAATGTAAATTACCCTTTTTCTTTTCTTCTAAAATGGCTTCAAATTGTAACATGAAACTACATTCGTTTATCCTAAGTAGCTCTAAGTTCGTAATATTATACATCTTCAAATAATTAAATTTTATTGTTTTATTGCCCTTTTTATTGGCTTTTGAACCATGTCTAACTACTATCCGCACCATTATAAATTGTAAATGAATAGGTAACTCACGATTCGCTAATGAATTACGTTACCCACAAGCTAGGAGCTGCTCACGTGTGTGCCTCATAAAACATTTTTTAATATAATATTATTTATTTTGCCTAATTTAATCTTAACTAATCTAAAAGGATCTCTATTTTTTTACATTTTAGTTACTTTCATAATTATACATAAAAAATAAACATGAAAAACAAGAAATAAAATACTTAACCAGTCTTCTTTTTTCTTTCTGTCAATTGTTAACCCTTATTGTTTTATACTAATGATAGTAATGTACTAAATAATTTTTATTTAATTAAATAATGCATCAAAGAATATAGACTAATAACATCCAAAAAGTAAACAAATTCCCTTACCTCTCAAAATTTTTCTGGCTTTCTAACTATGTGACAAGAGTCGATACAAATTCATCCAAGCTAGTCGTTAACTTTCACACGGGAACGATGCTGGTACTCTGAGTGAAATTGACATTTAACCATTCAGAACATAACATTATAGAATATGTCATTTGACAGATGAAAACATTGACGTTTTATTGGTTATGGGTAATGTATAATTAAACGTATGAGAGAACTATTAACAAATTCTGAAAGAGAGGATGTGACAGGTAGGTGTAGCAGGAGGGGTCTGATTCTCTAATCGAAAGCTCTGTAACCAAACAAAATTGAAGACTATAAAAAATATGGTTTGTCTGAGCATTGATGATTTTTATAGAGTAATTTACATTTAATTTCCTACTTTTTTGAGGGGTGGTGGATAAAACAGGGATGATGACATGCTAAGAGAAAATAGTGTCATGTGGGTCACACAAGTGGAAA